GACCAGCAAGGATGAAACGAGTGAAGACGTCCTCATCCTCGTTCAGGAGTTGCGCAGATCGCGTCACGGCTCCATAAAGGCTGTAGGAGACAGGACGGATGGTACGGTCGTCGGGATAGGGACGCATAGTTGTCGAAGTATCAGTGGGTGGTGAACGTTTAAAGTGGTGAATGTCCGCCGTCGAACTATGCTCAGCCTTTATATTATCCTCTAGTCAGATCCCTTCGTATTGAGCACGGTGCGTGAACTCCTCAGATTTCTGCACCTTCATTCATTCACTTGCGACCCTATGCACATGTGGGCGTCCCGGACGGCCACGCTGCACAGGCTCCACTCGGATTCCCGTACCGAGAGTCCATGACTTTGATGCAGGCCTGTGGAGTTGACTCATGTTTTCAATACCTCAACTTACAACGTGGCCGTCCAGGACGCCCATGGTGGGGCACACTCCACCCAGGTATGTGTTCTGATTGGTGAGTTCACAGGTGGCCTTCTGGGACGGCCACGGTGCGACAGCACCCTACTACACAGCCACCCGCGTGCCCTCACCACACGTGGCCGTCCGGGACGGCCACCCGGCACACACGCTCCCAAACACCTGTGCCGAGCATCCGCGCCGCTCTGTTCACACGCGGCCCTCCGGGACGGCCATTCAGCATGTCACATATACAACCATTTCACTCCACCACATGCATGATTGTCGTCACCACTAAGACATGCATCACGCACATGTAGACGGCTGTGTCATTGACCTTCAACTGCACAGTGCCTCATTTACAATGAGGCGCTGCGCAGTTCAGTCAATGACATAGCCATCTACATGTGTCCAGCTGCATGTCTTTGTGTTTACGCCAATCATGCAAGGGATGTGACTGCTCTGGTCAAGTCTTCGGATTATCGGAGCGAGGGTCAGCCCAAAATGGGGCGAGGGTCAGCCTGTAGCCGAGTGAGGGTCAGTCCATAGCAGGGCAGGGTCACTCTATAGTAAGGCGAGGGTCAGCCCGGAGTGGCGCGAGGGTCAGCCCGGAGTGGCGCGAGGGTCAGTGCCCTGGGTCAGCACCCTCAGCGCTGTGGGTCAGCACCCTGGGTCAGCGCCGCGGGTCAGCACCCTCTGTGCTGTGGGTCAGAGGCGTGGGAAAGCGCCAGCTCTGACCCTAGGACGGGCCTCGACTGACCCTAATATCCACTCATAACCCGCCATTGACTGGCAAATGACTGGCAAATGATTAGCCATTGATTGGCCATTGACCTGGCATTGACCGGCATATGATTAGTCATTGCCGGGTCATTGTCTGGTTTCTGACCATCATGGGCCAGACTTTGATTGTTGCCATCCAATTGCGGAGTTTATCCGCATTTATGTTAACTCCATTTTATTTAAAATAAACAGATGAGCAATGACATGCTGACAGCCGTGAGAAACTACGATTTAAGATAACTGTCAAAACTGCGTGTCCCACCTTTACCATAACCTGTCAAATGTTATTTAAAATACAATGTGTATCCATACCCGGATAAATCCGGGCAAGTTATGATAAAGTTATTTTAACTAACCGGGCCAGTTATTTAAAGTAAATGGGCACAAGTTATGGTGAAATTTTTGTAGTGAGAGGTAAGGGATAAGGAGCTGGCTGGTTATCCTTGGTCACTTTCCCAGGGGGGTATGGTTTTTTTTCACACGGGGGTATGGTTTTTGCTGAGGGGTATGGTTTTTTGTTCTCACGGGGTATGGGGTATGGTTCCCACGGGGGTATGGGGTATGGTTTTTGGTATCACTTTGGGGCAAAGTGATAGGCGAAATACTGTTAAAGGGCTGGCCGTGTAACCAATTAAAAGGGGCCATGAAGAGAACATGGTCATATTGACAGACTGGAGGATGGGAAAAATGGGACCTCCTCTATCATGTTCAGCGTCCCAAATAACCCCAGAATTGACCCAAAGATCATCACTTTCCATCAACATGACTGCATACTGTGCATGTTGCAAAGTTATTGACCACCAAGTGACCGTGGGAACTCGCAGATAGCGCAGATAGCGCAGACCGCGCAGATAGCGTGGGAAACCCGCAAGTACCGCAAATACCGCAAATACCGCATGTAGCCGATGTTTATTCCCGCGGTTAGAAATGATATGGGCGGGTGCTCTGACGCATTACCATCATGGCCATAGCATTTGCACGCACATATCTGCTCAAATAAACAAGATATGGGCAAAATACACGAAAAAACGCGACACTTGAGCTTGTGAGCACTGCGATTTTTTGTGTATTTTGGCCATATCTTTTTTATTTGAGTAGATCTTTGCACAGGAAAGCTATGGCTGTGATGGTAATGCGTCAGAGCACCCGCCCATATCATTTCTAACCGCGGGAATAAACATCGGCTACATGCGGTATTTGCGGTATTTGCGGTATTTGCGGTATTTGCGGGTTTCCCACGCTATCTGCGGGATCTGCGCGATCTGCGGGATCTGCGCTATCTGCGGGTTCCCACGCTATCTGCGCAACCTGCGAGTTCCCACGGTCACTTGGTGGTCAATAACTTTGCAACATGCACAGTATGCAGTCATGTTGATGGAAAGTGATGATCTTTGGGTCAATTCTGGGGTTATTTGGGACGCTGAACACGATAGAGGAGGTCCCATATTTTTCCCATCCTCCAGTCTGTCAATATGACCATGTTCTCTTCATGGCCCCTTTTAATTGGTTACATCTTCATTAATTCAGGAGAGAAAGTGAGGAGCACATTTGATATGCTCACTAGGGTTTTCTGTGTTCCTGAATCCATTGGTGCAGAAAATGGGGTTGTGGGAAGTGTGGTTGAGATAATATACCTAGTGTGTGATATCTATGGGAAAATCTCATAAACAGTTACTATATTATTTGAGAAGGTATAAGGATGATATTAGAGTGTATTCTGGGGTTATTTGAGACGCTGAACACGATGGAGAAGACACCATAATTTTCCTGTGCTCTTGTCAAGCAATAGGATCATGTGCTCCTCATACCCCTCTCCAACTGGGTGCTGCTCCATTAATTCAGGGACTGAAGTGATGAGCATGTGTGATGTAGTTCCTGGTGTTTTAAGCCTTTCCCAATTGAATTATGCAGCCGCTGGTACCATGGGAAGTATGGTTGAAATGATATACCTATTGCCCACAGTACCTGCAGGCAGATCCTATTTGCTGTCACTATGGAGTTTGGTGGGGGTGATGAGTAATGTTAGGATGCTTTCTGGGGTTATTTGGGCCGCTGGAGACAATGGAGTAGGTCCCATATTTCTCCTGTGCCCCAGTCTGGCATGAGGACCATGTGCTCCTCATACCCCCCCCTCCAACTTGGCAGTGCCCCATTAATTCAGGGACTGAGCCTGGGGATGTGTGCAATGCTTTCCCTGGGAGTTTGAAGTTGTTCTAATTGATTTGTGCAGCTGCTGTGTCCATGGGACGTATGGTTGAAATGACATACCTAGCGTGCACAGTACCTGCAGGCAGATCCCATTCATTGTGACTATGGAGTTTGGGGAGGGAAAGTGGTAATATGGGGGTGTATCCTGGGCCTATTTGGGTTTCCAAAGACTATGGAGAAGGTCCCATAATTTTCCTGTGCCCCAGTCTGGTGCGAGGACCATGTGCTCCTCGTACCCCCCTCGAGCTTGGTGCTACCCCATTAATTCAGGGGCTGAGCCTAGGGACATGTACAATGCTCTACTTGGGGTTTTCAAGGTGTGTCAATCCATTGGTG